ACTGTTTGACGAGGCATCGACATCTCATAAATGACCAGAGGCCGTGCCAGAGAATTGGAAGGTTGAGATTTATCAGTACGGCCATGAGTTGTCCACCAACATAACGCATGACACATACATACAAAAACCAATATCGCAGTTACAGATTTAAGATCCTGTCTTCCTCTTATTTTTGCTGGGTGAATCTCCTTTAATAGTTTAAATTTTTGAAATAAATAGTTATATAGTATCACTACAAAAGGTTTTATTTTTAAATCTCATCGTACCATAATTACTAAAAAAAATTATGTGTTTAGTTTAAAATTTAGACTATACAGGAAATATGTATATTGAAATATATATACTTAAAACTTTGTTTAAACTTTATGCATATCTGTAGCCAGTCGGGTAGAGGAATGATACCGTTGTTAGTACACCATGTCGATAATAATGCATTGGATTTTGGATTCAGAATTTAGAGACTGAGATAGGCTTCCTCTATGCCATTGTTGATTTGATTGACTTGGTACTCGATCGGATGCAGAGAATAGACGAAGAGAGAACATAAAAAAAAGCACATATTCATTAGGGTAGGGATAACCATTACATACAACTACTATGTGGAGATGACACAAACAGCTACTACAAAACCAAATACTTGAACAAGGACACCCGGACCGGACTCTTGGTACTATAATGAAAACCGGAGGCTCTCTCTAGTGGACCTCCATGCAGACTCGATGCCCATCTTATTTTTATGCTACTACTAGTAGCTACTAGATCCAGCTCCAGAATCCCATTACTCCATCAGCCTCACTGCACCCTGCAACGCGTACAATAAGAAGATAACAATCGCAATAAGTTTATAACCTTAACAGANATTTTGGATTAGGTGGTGATTGCATTGAGGTTGAGAAAGAGGTAAATTTTGAAAAACTTGTTAAATGATTTTATATCATTGTTTTGGTGATGAAAAAGAAATTTTGAGTGCGTTGGAACTAAAACAATAGTTTTAGTGTGTGTGAAAATTATGTTTTATGAGACGGGGACTGAGTTACCAAGTTTAAATGATAATAAGATTGTATACCGGTGTGATTGGTATAGGGATGTGCACATAGGAGCCAGTTACCAAGCTAGTGATGACAATAGACGGAGCCAGTTAACAAGCTAGTGGTGACAAGAGACGTGATCAGTTACTAGACTAGTGGTAACAAATATGATTTGACAAATGTATTTGGTACTGAATGAGGGAGTGAGTGTTTTTAGGAATGTCTTTTTATTTACAAAGTTATTTGTGAAAATGAGCGGATGCTTTAGATTATAAATGTCTTTTTATTTATAAAGTTATTTGTGATCATGAGATCATTTTATTTACANTTTGCAATACGCTATGAATAACATTTTGAAGTTTAGTATAATTTATGTTTCTCAATTTGACAGGTAGTCTACGCATACTATGCATACCTTGGCGTTATGCTTCGCGCTAGTGTACTAGAAATTCGAAGAAAATTTTAGTCTAAGATATAAATGGACATACAGATTTATAGAGAGGAGTGTGGTTACAATTTTAAGGTGGGTTTTATTAGCGGACTTGCTTTGATTTCACAATATATTTTCTTTTAATATGACTAGGAATTGCATATAATTGATCATTCGAATATATTGGTTGAGTTAGCCTATTGAGAGAAAAAAAAAAAAAGAAATCTTATTTATGTTGAGGAACCAGTAAATTTTGTGTAATAGAACCATTCCGTTGGCCAATTGTTACGGAAGAGCCACCCAATTGAGAAAGTTCCTTGGAAAAGTAGAGAAAACAAGAAAAATTAATATCTTGATTTGTTCTCACGAGACATATAAATTTCAAAGACAATTTTTTTAAGGAGGGGAGAATGTAATAATTCATACGAAAAAAAAATTATTTTATTTTGGTGCATTGGCTATTCAGAAGTAATTACATATAAATAAAGATAAAAATAATTAAAAGAAGATTAATATGTCTCAAATAAAAGTCTTGCCCTAGAGAGACCTATTAGGACTGTTTTATATGTGTTTTAAATATAGTAGTATTGTAGGATATGTCAAACTCTTTATATATATGTATAGATATATATATTCTCTTCCCATAATCACACCTACACACATGTTAGAATAAGAGAAAGAAGAAGAGAGGCTAGAGTTTCGAGTAAAGAAAAAGGAAGAGAAAGAAAAAAAGAGATTTAGAGAAGAATGAAGAAAACTAGAAGATTTGATTATCAAGGTTAGTCTTCATATTGAAATTAAATTATATATTTAATTATTATATGTACACATATACAAGTTTGTAGTCTAATATATCTTGTAAGTAATTCATATGGGTAGGTTTATAGAGTTAAAATATGTAAAATCAAACATAATGCGGTGGGTAATTGTGTTAAGAAGATATTGGGACAAAGGGGGAGGAAGAAAAAAGAAAAAAAAGTGCAGTTCATAGATTCTGGAATTCGTAAGGTTGAAGAAGATGGAAATTCTGAAATTATGAAAACCTCCAATTTAATTTTAAATAGCTTTATTTTGACCTTTACACTTTTATAAACCCAATTTTAACCACCATGGAACTTGGTAATTTACATAACTAATCTAATATATTTGAAACAAGTATTGTCATTTCAAATTAGCCCCCGAGTCTTGAAAATTTTCTAAAATTTTGAAACAACACCTAAAAATTTCAATTAAGGTTCTAAAAAAAAAATCAAAAGTTACTCTAATAAATCAAAATTGAGGTTGTATTCACAAATTTATAAAAAATTTATGGAAAATACAATTTTGGAAAATAGATGGCAGCCTCGAAAATAGAAATTTGTTTTTCAAAGAAATTACACTTTGACCCCAAAAGGTTACAAAATTATGATTTGACCCCAAAATTTTAGGAACCTTTTATAAACTGCCCAAATTATATTCATACCGTATTAGTTCACATTAAAATATTATTTCTATGTAAAGGATATATAAAATATATATCAATGAGTATACAATATAAAAATTAAATATAGAATCGCGAAATGACGAAATTAGGAATAGGGATTGATTGCTATATATTATTTTGGATTAGGTGGTGATTGCATTGAGGTTGAGAAAGAGGTAAATTTTGAAAAACTTGTTAAATGATTTTATATCATTGTTTTGGTGATGAAAAAGAAATTTTGAGTGCGTTGGAACTAAAACAACAGTTTTAGTGTGTGTGAAAATTATGTTTTATGAGACGGGGACTGAGTTACCAAGTTTAAATGATAATAAGATTGTATACCGGTGTGATTGGTATAGGGATGTGCACATAGGAGCCAGTTACCAAGCTAGTGATGACAATAGACGGAGCCAGTTAACAGGCTAGTGGTGACAAGAGACGTGATCAGTTACTAGACTAGTGGTAACAAATATGATTTGACAAATGTATTTGGTACTGAATGAGGGAGTGAGTGTTTTTAGGAATGTCTTTTTATTTACAAAGTTATTTGTGAAAATGAGCGGATGCTTTAGATTATAAATGTCTTTTTATTTATAAAGTTATTTGTGATCATGAGATCATTTTATTTACATGATTATGTGGCAGAGATTGAGGTTCAATTTGTTATATTTATGTATGTATTAAATTTTATTATTATATATAAACTGTGAGATTTATTTTCACCTCATTAGAGATAGTTGTTATTCACGAGTTTTTGTCCTTCATACAAACACTTAATATTTTTTAGGTGTGGATCAGGGGGAAGAATAAATCTCTCAATAGACAAGAGATTAAAAGAATTGAAAAATTATTTTATTGTAAGTTTTCAAGAATAAATGTCTTTTATAATTTTGAGACAAATATTCAATTGTTTTGAAACTATGTTGCCATGCATGCATTATTTTTTATTTTTAACATTGGTTATTCATGTAATTAAGGTTACATTAAGGATAAGATACATACGTCTCCCCTAATCAAAAATAATTTTATTTTTTAAATCAATAAAATGTCTTAGCACAATCGAGATTTACAAAAAATAAAATAAAATAATAATATTAGTGATATTGAGTTCATTCTTTCATTAGGTTGATGAATTAGATTATTTTATTATTTATCTTTTACTGTTTGTGAAATTTGTTTTACACAGAATTGGTTGATTGGTTAGTGACCGGTCCGCCGTCCACCTATGTGATTCGGAGCAGCGGTGCATCGAGTGCTCTTAAAATTACTTGTAGTTGTAAACCTTACAACTGTTTGACGAGGCATCGACATCTCATAAATGACCAGAGGCCGTGCCAGAGAATTGGAAGGTTGAGATTTATCAGTACGGCCATGAGTTGTCCACCAACATAACGCATGACACATACATACAAAAACCAATATCGCAGTTACAGATTTAAGATCCTGTCTTCCTCTTATTTTTGCTGGGTGAATCTCCTTTAATAGTTTAAATTTTTGAAATAAATAGTTATATAGTATCACTACAAAAGGTTTTATTTTTAAATCTCATCGTACCATAATTACTAAAAAAAATTATGTGTTTAGTTTAAAATTTAGACTATACAGGAAATATGTATATTGAAATATATATACTTAAAACTTTGTTTAAACTTTATGCATATCTGTAGCCAGTCGGGTAGAGGAATGATACCGTTGTTAGTACACCATGTCGATAATAATGCATTGGATTTTGGATTCAGAATTTAGAGACTGAGATAGGCTTCCTCTATGCCATTGTTGATTTGATTGACTTGGTACTCGATCGGATGCAGAGAATAGACGAAGAGAGAACATAAAAAAAAGCACATATTCATTAGGGTAGGGATAACCATTACATACAACTACTACGTGGAGATGACACAAACAGCTACTACAAAACCAAATACTTGAACAAGGACACCCGGACCGGACTCTTGGTACTATAATGAAAACCGGAGGCTCTCTCTAGTGGACCTCCATGCAGACTCGATGCCCATCTTATTTTTATGCTACTACTAGTAGCTACTAGATCCAGCTCCAGAATCCCATTACTCCATCAGCCTCACTGCACCCTGCAACGCGTACAATAAGAAGATAACAATCGCAATAAGTTTATAACCTTAACAGAGAGAGAGAGAGAGAGTGAGAGGAAATTAATACGGTAGAATATATGTACATGAAGACCCAGTTTGGCGTCTTTGTGGGTTTTGGTTTTGGGGAGGGGGGGGGGGTTGGGGAAAGAGAGAGAAGGTTAATTACTTGGCACAGTCAGTAGAGGGGCTGATCTTGTAGGGAATGTTGACGTTGCATTTGGCGGGGAGACCAGCGGCCAAACTGAGGTTGATGTCTTTGACAGAGCCAGCAGCAGCTTTCATGCAGTTGCAAGCTTGCTGGCGATCAGCAGTAGTCGTAGCTGCTCTGTAGAGGGACTGAACTCCAGTGCAGCACCGTGGCGGCACCTGACCGCCAATACCCCTCAGGTAGGAGATGCATGGTGCCAGGTCACTCGCCACCGTGCCGCATGATATGGCCGCTTCGCCATAGGGTGCAGCCACCACCATGCACATGAGCACCACACAAGCGAGCTTAACAATTCCTGATGAGGCCATTGGAATGACTAGTAGAGAAAACTCAAAGGTAGAGAACTCTTTTCTCTGTAAAGAAGAAGTTAGCTATAGTCTAACACTGNAGTAGAGAAAACTCAAAGGTAGAGAACTCTTTTCTCTGTAAAGAAGAAGTTAGCTAGTCTAACACCGNGCGAGCTTAACAATTCCTGATGAGGCCATTGGAATGACTAGTAGAGAAAACTCAAAGGTAGAGAACTCTTTTCTCTGTAAAGAAGAAGTTAGCTATAGTCTAACACTGGAAACTTGCAAAGTGGTTTTTCCTTGCGAGGGTATTGCGTAGAAAGGCTCCTCAGATTTGGTGTTTATATAGAGAAGAGTAGGCGGGCCTGAAATTTAAAAGGGTAGTGTTGGTTTGGTCGTTGAGTCCAATTCAATGCACCATCAGTATTCGTCTATTCCAGGGACCCATTTAATTAAAGCAACCAATAGCTGCGTAAAAGCAAGGTTTTCTTAATTTCATAGTCACTAGTCCCAAAATTGCATTACTCTCAAAACTTTATTAAAGTTTCGTCGTGGAGAAGGTATATATTTATTCTGGTCCTATAATGGATAAGTTTACAGTTTCGTAATTTCTGATTTGATTTAACTGAATTATAATCATTAATTATAGCATCATGTAAAATTANTTCTGGTCCTATAATGGATAAGTTTACAGTTTCGTAATTTCTGATTTGATTTAACTAAATTATAATCATTAATTATAGCATAATGTAAAATTAAAAAAAAAAATTATGCACACTCAAATTTTATTGAAGAAAAATTAAAAATACATTTCTAAAATATTACTTTTTATGTACTGGACCCGTGTTATAGTACTCTCCACCTGATTTTTAGATGGCTCCAAGAGAAAGTTGAGTGGGAAATGGTAGATTTTGAGTCGTGTCAAACTGGTTTGGTGAAGAAACAGTTCACCGGGTACTATAATTAACCTCCCGTACAAACGATAGAAATTTCTGCGAGTGGCTGACAGTGTGGAAATTAAAAGCCCAACATTCAACATTTAAAATTTAGTATAATAACTTTAAATTTTATCAAATAACATCTTATTGACTTTATTTTTGTGTATGATTAAAATGGTTGAGGGTTGTAGTGACGGGGAGAGAATGATTCAAGATGCTGTTTAAGCCGGGAATGTAAGCATTTGGCTTATATTATATGAACTTATTCACAAAAATAGTGTCACATTTGGAGGCCGCTCACCCTTCCATTCCATGGTGTGGAAGAGTAACGGAATGATATGAAAAAAAAAGCCAAGGACTAGAACATTATCAACAAAGCACGCAAATTGACAAAAACATGGGCGTGTTTGGTTTTGTTCTACAAAATTATTTTTTATTCTCAAAATTTTAAAAATNAAACCCAATTTTAACCACCATGGAACTTGGTAATTTACATAACTAATCTAATATATTTGAAACAAGTATTGTCATTTCAAATTAGCCCCCGAGTCTTGAAAATTTTCTAAAATTTTGAAACAACACCTAAAAATTTCAATTAAGGTTCTAAAAAAAAAATCAAAAGTTACTCTAATAAATCAAAATTGAGGTTGTATTCACAAATTTATAAAAAATTTATGGAAAATACAATTTTGGAAAATAGATGGCAGCCTCGAAAATAGAAATTTGTTTTTCAAAGAAATTACACTTTGACCCCAAAAGGTTACAAAATTATGATTTGACCCCAAAATTTTAGGAACCTTTTATAAACTGCCCAAATTATATTCATACCGTATTAGTTCACATTAAAATATTATTTCTATGTAAAGGATATATAAAATATATATCAATGAGTATACAATATAAAAATTAAATATAGAATCGCGAAATGACGAAATTAGGAATAGGGATTGATTGCTATATATTATTTTGGATTAGGTGGTGATTGCATTGAGGTTGAGAAAGAGGTAAATTTTGAAAAACTTGTTAAATGATTTTATATCATTGTTTTGGTGATGAAAAAGAAATTTTGAGTGCGTTGGAACTAAAACAACAGTTTTAGTGTGTGTGAAAATTATGTTTTATGAGACGGGGACTGAGTTACCAAGTTTAAATGATAATAAGATTGTATACCGGTGTGATTGGTATAGGGATGTGCACATAGGAGCCAGTTACCAAGCTAGTGATGACAATAGACGGAGCCAGTTAACAAGCTAGTGGTGACAAGAGACGTGATCAGTTACTAGACTAGTGGTAACAAATATGATTTGACAAATGTATTTGGTACTGAATGAGGGAGTGAGTGTTTTTAGGAATGTCTTTTTATTTACAAAGTTATTTGTGAAAATGAGCGGATGCTTTAGATTATAAATGTCTTTTTATTTATAAAGTTATTTGTGATCATGAGATCATTTTATTTACATGATTATGTGGCAGAGATTGAGGTTCAATTTGTTATATTTATGTATGTATTAAATTTTATTATTATATATAAACTGTGAGATTTATTTTCACCTCATTAGAGATAGTTGTTATTCACGAGTTTTTGTNTGAAGCTCAAAGTTACGTGAGTCAGTGGGTCATGAGTGAGTGTGTTATTGATAGACAACATAGAGTTGGAAGAGATATACAAATTGAATGCCTACAAAAAAAAATAAAAATACCAAGTTATATGGTCCAACCCAAATAATTTGGATTCATGTTCGGCTTGTACAAGAAATCAAACGAATTTGAACGAACCAAAAAAAATTCGAGTCCGAATCCAAGATCTAGTTGTAGCAGAGTAAATTTGTGTCGTTTCTAGGAAAACAACACAAACTCAACCAAAGTCTATAACAAAATTTTTTGGAGGGAGTGTTGAGCAGAGAGATGCACGTAAAGTATCACAGATTTTATTTTCTGTTTATTTATTTACCCAAAGAAAGTAGCATATGTTCACTATAAATACAGTTATTACACACAACCACCAAATTTATGACATACGATTAGTCCCTATAGAAGACCTTTATTCCAAAGACACTAAAAAATAGTCAGAGATAGAGTGGGGAGGTACTTGGAGCAGTAAGCGGAAGAGTTGATCTTGAACAGAATGAGACCACACTTGGCAGGGAGGCTAGCAGCGTAACCATGGTTAACAGCCAGGAACAGGAAGCCTCCACCCTGCAAGCACCTACAAGCGCTTTGACTGTCGGCGGTGGTCTTAGCCGCGCTGTTGCGGGTTCTAACCATTTTGCAGGTAGTACAGGCAGGGGACCAAAGCATCGTGAACCTTACGGCAAGTTATGGCGCGCACTGCATAGGGTGCAACCATCACCATGCACATTACCATCACGACAGCTAGCTTCATGACAAGAATTGTCATTGTTTTATCAAATGAACACACTCTGTACAAAACACTAGAGAAATGTGTACTTGATACTAAAAATGTATGGTACTCCTGTCAGTTAAAAGGCCTCCGAGGCCTGGTGTTTATAAAAGGAATACAGATTTGCGTGAATGAACAGGAGAGAGAGGGAGCTGTGAAAAAATANAGTTAAAAGGCCTCCGAGGCCTGGTGTTTATAAAAGGAATACAGATTTGCGTGAATGAACAGGAGAGAGAGAGAGCTGTGAAAAAAAATAAACAAAATTTACTGTTTATTTTATATTAAATAATACGTGAAATAACTCCTGATATAATAGTAAAAATAAGTCGTGCAGTTGGATCGACTTATCTAGGAAAACTATGACCACTAGAATTAGACACTTAATTACTTGTAAAAGTAATTAAGTTCGGATTAAGACCTTTTTTACCTGGCATATAAAATATAAAATGTTTCGATAGTCTACAAATGAAAAAAAAATGGTAATAACTTGTCAAATAACAATGATAATCTATACATTGAACTGATGATTTAACTATAACCAACCAATTTATACGATAAAGGTATGCTCCCACGCCAGTAAATTGATTTTTGTACCTAGTTAAATTTTTATATGTACGCATTATTCGGGTGTAAATCATGTAATTTGGCACACCTTTGGTTAGATGTGGCATGTAATATTACTTATAAGCTCACCAAGGCACCCAGACAATGGCTGCAATAATTGACTTTATCATTAATTAATGACATACCCCAGTCCCAACTTTAGAATCAAACTTTCCCATCCATGTGCCTTAAGTTGCTGCAAAAGCTGTAATAGATTGGGATTTTTGGAGGAGGAGCATCCATCGTCTTCATTTTCATATTGCCCACCTTTGGTTGAAGGGAATGATTTTAACTTGGTGTGATGGCTCATGTTGTGCCAAAACTCTAGCATTAGAATGGGTGGTGTTTCATTTCTAAAAGANCCACCTTTGGTTGAAGGGAATGATTTTAACTTGGTGTGATGGCTCATGTTGTGCCAGCATTAGAATGGGTGGTGTTTCATTTCTAAAAGTTGATAGAATAAGCTCCAAAAGTTATTTCGGTGCAATTAATCACGCCGCCCACACCATTTTTTTCACCTTAATCAGCGACTCAAACCATTTATTTTCCATCTTAATTTGAAAGTACTCCAACTATGTCACTTTAATCTAGTACACCAGATGAGGGACTCTAGGGTTTTATAACAGATGCCTTTGACAGTACACCTCTCAGCTACCTCTAATTGAATTGTAGCAATAAGGTTTTTTTTTTGCCATCCATGGAAACACACGCAGCAATAAAATGTAAGCAAGCTGTTGGATGTGACAGTGAGATCAAATCTGCCACGACAACAGCAATTTGTGAGCTCAATGAAGATTTTGCTAAGGCAGGCAGGGGATTCAATTCTATTGAATAATTTCTTGAACTAAGACTTTTTCATTCTCTATCACTTATATGGGATTCAAACCCTGCCTGGCTCCAATAATTACCACCGGATCAGTGCACCATCACTCAATTGCATGGTTATATAAAAAGCAACAACATCAGCTTGATTTTAAATTGATAAAAAAAAATAAAAAACAAACAAAGGGTATTAAGAAAGAAGGATTTGGAAACTAGGACACTGTAGGCCATAGCTAATAAAATACAGTTACTACACACAACTACCAAATTTATGACATACGATTAGTCGCAATAGAATACCTATATTTCAAAGATAGACTTAAAAATTAAATTTGATAATCTCAAACATTAAATGGGTAGTAANACCATCACTCAATTGCATGGTTATATAAAAAGCAACAACATCAGCTTGATTTTAAATTGACAAAAAAAAATAAAAAACAAACAAAGGGTATTAAGAAAGAAGGATTAGGAAACTAGGACACTGTAGGCCATAGCTAATAAAATACAGTTACTACACACAACTACCAAATTTATGACATACGATTAGTCACAATAGAATACCTATATTCTAAAGATAGATTTAAAAATTAAATTTGATAATTTTAAACATTAAATGGATAGTGAATCCTAAAAAATATCGGACTCACAATAAAATTCATAATTAAAATTATTAAGTTTAATTTTTAAATTTATTTTTTAAATACACTTAACATTACTCATATTGCAAAGACACTCATTAAAAATTACAGTCGGAGACGCACTCATGTGACGATGTACTCTGCCTGGGATAGAGAGCCACCCTATTTCACAGCCCAATCAGAGGGAAATTGGTTGTCCTGCTCCTGCCCCAACCCCTGCCCATTAATAACTTCACCTGACCCTGCACGCATCACCCAACCAAGTGTTAATAATTAATTTAGTCAATACCCAAAAAGTTTCCATTTGCTTGTATAACAAGAGTTTGTTTGGAGAGAGAGAGAGAGAGGGGAGGGAGGTACTTGGAGCAGTCAGTGGAGGGGCTGATCTTGTACGGAATGTTGAGACTACACTTGGCAGGGATGCTAGCAGCGTAACCAAGATTGACAGCCGGGACGCCTTTTGCAGCAGCCTGCAAGCACCTACAAGCTCTTTGACGGTCGGCGGTGGTCCTGGCCGCGTTGTTGAGGGACCTAACCCCGTTGCAGCAGCTGCGGGGCACTGAACCACCATTCCTCAGGTAGTTCAGGCAAGGGATCAAATCACGCCGAACCTTGGGGCAAGTTATGGCGCCCTCTGCATAAGGTGCAACCATCACCATGCACATGACCACCACAACAGCTAGCTTCATGACAAGCATTGTCATTGTTTTATCAAATGAACACTCTCTGTACAAAACACTAGAGAAATGTGTACCTGATACTATAAATGTATGGTACTCCTGTTAGTTAAAAGGCCTCATAGGCCTGGTGTTTATAAAGGGAATAGAGATCTGCGTGAATGCAGAGAGAGAGAGAGAGAGAGAGGTGTTGTCTTCTTGGTGGTTGAGCTAAATAAAGACAGACACTTGACTGATAATCTAATCATAACCGGCGGATTTATATGATGAAAATATGCTCCCTTGTTAGTAAATTGATTTTTGTACCTAGTTAAATTTTTATATGTACGAATTATTAGGCTGTAAATCATTTCATTTGGCACACCGTTGGTTAGATGTGGCATGTAACATAACTTATAAACTCTCCCACGGACCCACAGAATGGCTGAAATAATTGAATGTTTGGGGTGATCCATTTTTGTTTAATCATCATAAGTTGGTTTGTCCGCCTCTTTATCGGTTACGGCACTGTTTGGAAAACTTTTGAATTTGAAGCTCAGAACCACAACTTCCTGCTGTGCAACTAATCCAAAACTTGGCGAGTCATTGGTTTGGACTTTTTTTTTGCGGATTTTCTATTTGTAAATTTGATCGAAAACATCACTGAATTGTAGCAGAAAGGTTTTTTTTGTGATGCAGGGCGGCAACATGGTAAAAGAAAACGAGACTAAATAACATAGAATTATAATTTATTGATTATCGCAATAATTTTATATTAAATCGTTAAAAAAAAATTTTATTCACAAAGAATACCCAATCAATTGAAAGAAAAGAGAGATCTCTTTGCATTTATTCAAATAAAACCAGTCTTTCATTTCCTTTAATTACTAAACTCTAGCAGTCATAAATTTCGGGAAAATTCCAGTGAAAATATCAAATATTAAATAAATATTTTAAACAGTGAGATAGAATATAAAAATACTTAAAAATGACTTAAATGTTGTTTTTTCACTAAAAAACGACACGTTGAAAAGTTTTTCAATCTTGTTCAGCTAAGTCGAAATTTTTTTGAAATGGGTCTTAATGAAATTTTTGACACCATCACGTACAATTAAGTTAAATTGAAATTCCATTAATCCTATTTTCAACGATCTTGACAACGTAGCAATAAAATACAAGCTCTCGGATGTGACAGTGAGATCAAATTTTCCACAACAACAACAACAATTTGTGAGCCCAATGAAGATGTGCTAAAGAAGTGGTTCAATTCTATTAAATAGGTACCAGACCACCTTTTCTAGCCGATGACTAATAAATACCAGATCCAGATTCAGATATGGATGTACTTTTGTGTGTGTGAGAGAGAGAGAGGAAGCAAAGAAAAAAAATCTCACGACTAAGCATTATATCAATTGGTGAATGACTTTTTTTACTTTTTTAACTTAATCAAAGTTTTGAGTTCGAGTCTTGCGAACGCAGCTGCGTTTGGTAGAGAGAGTTTTACCGTCCTTGTGCCTATCCAACTCAAATCCAGATTAATTGGAGCCCAAAATAACTTTCGAATAGCGGATGATCCGACCAAAAGACCAAAGAAAAAAAATCTCTGATCATGCAACGTTATAGGCTTGCAGTGCTTTCTATGCAGATAATAGCGTATTGACTTGGAGGGTGAATTCTATGGAACTGACTCTGGCATTCTAGAAAATATATATATATATATATATAAATAGTTCACATTTCAAATTTTAAAAATAAATAAAATAATTTTTAAATTTCGTGGTTTAAATTGTTTTAAATTTTATTTTAAAGTTAATCTAATAGTTAATATTAACACTTTTAAATTTAATTAAAAAAAATAGGCCTCTAAATGTATGTTTGGAGTGACTTTTTAAAATGACTTTTATAAATTATTTTTCATAAGTATTTAAAAAAAAAAATAGTATTTGAAAACATCTCACCACTCTATCGCCACCGCCACCGCCACAACCACCACCATCGCCACCATCGCCGCCACCACCACTACCTCCACCACCGCCAAACTGCCACCACCACTGTCGCCACCACCATCATCACTGCCGCTGCCGTCGCCACTGCCTCCACCATCGTCGCCTCCGCCACTATAGTCATTGACATCCACCATAACCATCACTGTCTCCTGCCACCACCACTGCCACCCACCACCTCTCATTCCCACTACAAACCGATGTTTAAATTACTTTATCTCTTCTTTATGTTTGTGATTTTGGATATAAATACAAATATATTTATTGTTTAACATTTTTTATTACTCCGTGCCTTCAGGCACAGACAATAACTAGTATATAATGAAGTAACTTACAATTTAAATCTAAAAAGATAAACAAAATGATTTTTGTTATATGTGGTTGAAATCGTTTTAAATTTTACTTTAAAATTAATCTAACGGCTAATATTAACACTTTAAATTTAATAGAAAAAATAGGCATCTAATGGTGTGTTTAGAGTGATTTTTTAAAAGTACTTTTAGAAATTATTTCTCATAAACTCTTTAAAAAAATAGTGTTTCAAACCGTCTCACCACTACCTCTACTACCACCACCACCACCACCATCACCACCACCGCCGCCCCACTACCACCACCCCACCAATGCCCCAAGACCACTATCCCCACTATCGTTGCCGCCACCTTACCACCTCCATCATTNCACCACCCTCACCTCCACCCCCACCGCCACTCCCACCTGAAAAAAATAGGTATTTGTCTAAACTCACCCCGTTTGGACTAGGGATGGACGATACGTATTGGACGGTGGACGTATACGGGGATACCCGTATAAACCTATGCGGGGATGAAGGCGGGGATGTACTTACCCTTACCCCCGTCTCGTCCCCATCCTGCCACGCCCCGTCCCCATTTGCCAATATATATATATAAACTCTCAATTAAAACCCTAGGCATAAATTACTCCTCTTCCTCAATCAACACTGCCCCTCTCTCTTTGTCTTTCACACCCGCAAATGGTGATCTGAGTTTGCAAACCCGCGCCTCTTCATCATTCATCTTCATCTTCAGTTGCTACTTCTCTTAGTCGATCGAACCTTAGCGCCTCCTCCTCTTTGAGTCTCAGAGACTCTCGCCAGTCACCTCTCTCGCTGTCTCATCTTCGAAGCCACAAGCCAGTCAAAAGCATCCCAGGTTCTCTCTCTCCTCTCTGTGTTCTATATGATTGGTAGCAGTTAGTATGTCGTGCAATTTCTACTCGTGGGTTGCCTCCACAAAGCCCAAAAATGATTATTCGTGTTTATAATATGTATTAGAGGAATCTGTATTTCCATCAAATGAGATTTTGAACCTTTATAAATATTGATAGTAGGAAATAACTCCAAAAATGAGATTTTGAGGTCCATACTGAATCCAATCTCAATTACTACCTTGATCCTCTTCATTTTGTCAGTGAACTTGATATTGAATTCAAAGGAATCAGTTGGTGAGATCGTTTTGGTGTTTGGCTCTTTGTTAAGAATCTTATACTTTGCACATGAAAAGGAATGGAGTAGTCTTAGGACATCATCATCTGACAGGTTTAACTGACTCATAATTTCCTGGTAACTTAATCGATCTGAGAAATTGAATAACAACAGAGTCGAAGCCTATAAAGGTAGAGCTCATGTCAGTGTGAATGTGTCAAACTCTGCCCTTTGTGCTGCTGCCCATCCACCGCTTGCGTCTCAGAGTCAATCATTGTTGCCCTTATGCCACCAGCATCACCAGCCCCCTGCCCTTTTCTTCACTCACGACCAACAACCACCACCACCACATGCACATCCTGCACATTAAGTGTTCGTTAAAATGTCTAAGACACTACCACATGTTCACCCTGCACATTGTGGATCTGATTGAGGTGAAAAAGTGTCAGCAAGTGAAGGGGAAGAGTTTTACTTAGGGGTAGAGTTGTGGGTCATGCGATCTAGGGGTTTTGGGTGGGGCTAAGGGAGAGGGGGGGAAGGATTTTACATGAGCGATTTCAGTTAGTAAATGTTGCTGAGGAAATGCCAATGAGCCATTTCATTTTTACTTGAATAAAGATGATTCAAATACTGGTGATGGTTGATTTTGGTTGTTCAAAAGGCTAATTTTTTGTGCATCACTCTAGGCCTCCCTGTTTGTTCACCCCTGCTAAGTTAAGGTTTTCTTTTTTGAGGCGGGCTATTGTGATCTAGTGGTTGGGCATCCAAGTTGCAGATTCTTCACCACAAACATGTGAAATGGTTGTGTTAATTTCTATAAGAAGCAAATGGAAATTGCTTTCCTAAAAAGTTTTCCCGCTACGAGGGTGTTGATAAAAATTTTATGATGAAATTGGGTTGTACTAAAAATAATTACTTTACGAAAATATTATTGGAGGTACCATTTGTTACAACATTATTTTACTTATGCACTGCTTGGTAAGTAAAAAAAAAAAAAGAAAACAGAATTGTATGACTGTGTTTGATTGGATACTTGAACTCGATTGATTATGTTTTCCATTCAATAATTACCTTAGAAACTGTGCATGATTGTGTTTGATTGGATCCTTGGGCTTGGGCGGGTATGGTGGAAGCGGGGATGGGGACGGGGATTATAAATTTACCCGCGGACAGGGATGGAGATGAAAATTATACCCATAAGCAGGGGTTGACTAGGGATGAACGAAGATTTTTTAAGCGGGTACGAGGATAAAGACTATACCCCCCGCCCCCGCTTCGGTCTATTGACATCACCACCCCCACCACCGCCGCCACCCCTACCACCCACACCATCACCATCACCGTCATTGCCACCACCACCACTGCTATCGTCGCCGCCGCCACCACCATCACCTCCGCCCTCGTCGCCACCGCCGCCACCACAGTCATTGCCACCCACTACAACCATCACCGTCTCCTACCACTACAATTACCGCCCACCACCTCTCACGTCCACTACAAATCGATTCTTAAATTCTTTTATCTCTTTTCTATATTTGTGATTTGATTTTGGATATGAATACAAATATGTTTATTGTTTACCATTTTTTATTACTCCGTGCTTTCAAGCACATACAATAACTAGTATGTATAATAAAGTAGCTTACAATTCAAATCTCAAAAGATAAACAAAATAATTTTTGTTATTTACAGTTCAAATCGTTTTAAATTTTACTTTAAAGTTAATCTAATACTTAATATTAACATCTTAAATTTAATAGGAATCATTGGCCCCTAAGGACATGTTTGGAGTGACTTTTTAAAAGTACTTCTAGAAATAATTGCTCATAAATATTTTTTCAAAAAAATAGTGTTTCAAACTGTCTCACCTCTACCTCCCCCACCACCACCACCGCCACCACCACTATCGTCACTGATGCTGCCACTGCCACCACCACCTCCACCACCACTGTCGCTGCCACTGCAACCGCTACCACCACCACCATCATCGTTGCCCTTGCCGCCACCATGGNTATAAGAAGCAAATGGAAATTGCTTTCCTAAAAAGTTTTCCCGCTACGAGGGTGTTGATAAAAATTTTATGATGAAATTGGGTTGTACTAAAAATAATTACTTTACGAAAATATTATTGGAGGTACCATTTGTTACAACATTATTTTACTTATGCACTGCTTGGTAAGTAAAAAAAAAAAAAGAAAACAGAATTGTATGACTGTGTTTGATTGGATACTTGAACTCGATTGATTATGTTTTCCATTCAATAATTACCTTAGAAACTGTGCATGATTGTGTTTGATTGGATCCTTGGGCTTGGGCGGGTATGGTGGAAGCGGGGATGGGGACGGGGATTATAAATTTACCCGCGGACAGGGATGGAGATGAAAATTATACCCATAAGCAGGGGTTGACTAGGGATGAACGAAGATTTTTTAAGCGGGTACGAGGATAAAGACTATACCCCCCGCCCCCGCTTCGGTCTATTGACATCACCACCCCCACCACCGCCGCCACCCCTACCACCCACACCATCACCATCACCGTCATTGCCACCACCACCACTGCTATCGTCGCCGCCGCCACCACCATCACCTCCGCCCTCGTCGCCACCGCCGCCACCACAGTCATTGCCACCCACTACAACCATCACCGTCTCCTACCACTACAATTACCGCCCACCACCTCTCACGTCCACTACAAATCGATTCTTAAATTCTTTTATCTCTTTTCTATATTTGTGATTTGATTTTGGATATGAATACAAATATGTTTATTGTTTACCATTTTTTATTACTCCGTGCTTTCAAGCACATACAATAACTAGTATGTATAATAAAGTAGCTTACAATTCAAATCTCAAAAGATAAACAAAATAATTTTTGTTATTTACAGTTCAAATCGTTTTAAATTTTACTTTAAAGTTAATCTAATACTTAATATTAACATCTTAAATTTAATAGGAATCATTGGCCCCTAAGGACATGTTTGGAGTGACTTTTTAAAAGTACTTCTAGAAATAATTGCTCATAAATATTTTTTCAAAAAAATAGTGTTTCAAACTGTCTCACCTCTACCTCCCCCACCACCACCACCGCCACCACCACTATCGTCACTGATGCTGCCACTGCCACCACCACCTCCACCACCACTGTCGCTGCCACTGCAACCGCTACCACCACCACCATCATCGTTGCCCTTGCCGCCACCATGGTCATTGTCACCCACCACAATTATCACCGTCTCCTACCACCACCACTGCCGCCCACCACATCTCACCCCCACTACAAACTGATGCTTAAATTCCTTTATCTCTTCTCTATGTTGTGATTTAATTTTGATTTTGAATATAAATACAAATATGTTTATTGTTTATAATTTTTTATTACTTTGTGTCTTCAAGCACAGACAATAACTAGTATATATATATCTCTTCACCAATTTAAAAAATAAAAAATCCTCCAATTAAGATCAGGTTGATTTACACCACACAGCTGGGCACCAACACAAGAGAAGAGTATGTACATGTGTTTATATCCATGTGTCAAAAATGTATTGACATAGTCATTCATAAATCGTACAATTCTGGTCTTGTCCAAACACAATTTTCTCAAAGACGTAGACATCTGACCAATATATGGCCCATTCTACTAATGCCTCTTATTCGCTTCTTTACGCAAAATAGGCTGATAGATCTATTCATATCAGGACCTGACCTAACTACTAACTACCAACTACTCCACGGGCTTCTCGTAAAAGAATTGACTCCAAAAAAGGCTCATTTTTAGATACCACCACTTATTCCCGATGGAAAAAGTTGGCCCAATATTTGCTTATAATTTGGGCCTCTTCCAAGAAGGCCCAATTCACATTCTCTATGAACAAACTTGTGTTTATTGCGCCAAATTAATTCGCCTTCTTGTTAGAACTTCTTCATTAATTTAGGGGGTTCCTATATACAGATAGATAGCCATTATTTTGCCTCACTCCCTTAACCTATATATTCTTGGCAACTCTCATCTTTCTATCTCTCTCTCTCCGGCTTACATATATATATACTCTCATCTCATAATGTCTATTGAAGTTGCAATTTATGCCATTTACCTTCTTCATTCTCATTTTCTATTTCCATTGCACTTATGGATACCATGCTTGGTCGTGCTGGAGGCTATGGAGTCGGTGGGAGTGGCTAGCAAAGCGCCCATGCAACTTTTGATGGTGGTGGTGACACTGCTGGCAATTTGGGTAACTAAGACTTTAGAATTCGCAAGCATGTGTGTGTGTCTGCACTTTTGTGTGTGTTTTCCCCCTCTTCTTCGTTCCGATCTCCATGCATTCAAAAAGGTATATCACTTGTCCGAAGGGGGAGCGTGTGGTTATGGGAACTTGTATAGCCAGGGTTATGGAACTAACACTGTGGCTCTAAGCACTGCACTTTTCAACAATGGCTTGAACAGTGGTGCATGCTATCAAATGAGGTGCAACCAAGACCCAAAATGGTGCCTACCTGCCATCATCGTCACCGCCACTGCCACAAACTTTTGTTCACCTAACCATGCTCTAGCTAATAACAACGGTGGGTGTTGCAATCCCCCTCTCCAACACTTCGACTTAGAAGAGCTTGCTTTCTTGCCAATTGTACAGTGGGATCGTTCCAGTCCTCTACAGAAGGTATGGATTAAATTAATTTCAAGGTCCTTGAATTATGTGTATTAAAAAGCAAGATTAAAGGAAACCTACCTGGCTATATTTACTTGCGACTTTCCCATAATCAAGACCACTTTTTACAGCTATTTTGTACTGCTTTTGATTATAGGGTCACAGGTGTGAAGAAAGGAGGAATGAGGTTCACAATCAACGACCATTCTTACTTCAACTTGGTGTTGATAACTCATGTTGGTAGCGCTGGGGACATCCATTCGGCGTAGATCGAGGGGGGGGGGTTCTAGGACAGGGTGGCAAGTGATGTCCCATTCTACACACTAAATGTACAAGTTTTTACTCTAACTCATGAGGTTTTTCAACTTTATACCCAACATAGGGTAGTTTTCAAACTATTTTCTAAACTCATACCCTTTTAAAAATGTCATTCCAACTGACATTTTTAAAATGTCACTTGAACTGATGTTTTTCAATAAAAGACGTTATTGGCAATGACATTTTTAAATGGAGATAAAAAGCTATGTACTAATGTAAAATGCTAGTGGAATCAACGTCTTCTTAAAAACATCATTCTGACCAGTGTTTTTAACGTTATTGTCTACCCTTAATTTCCCCCTTTCTTCTTTCTCTTCCATTCTCTCTGATTTCCCCATTCTCTGAGAATTAGGAGCCCTAACCTAACCAGAAATCGCCACCACCTACCACCACCCACTCCACCTCCACCATTGGAAATCACCCCAACCATTTTTTTCTCTTCTTCCATTCTTTTTTTTCCCCCATTTTCTAAGATTGGAGCCCTAACCCGATATCCCCACCACCCCCATCGACCCCCACTATTGAAAATCACCACCTTCACCACAGAATCCTCATGTCAGCCACACAGCAACCACTACTCCTCCACCGTTGAACTGAGAAGGACTCCACCACAGGCACCCCCCATCTTTAGATATTATCACCCCCACCCCCACCTTCTGAAATCCCCACAATCCTCCCCTCTTTCACAAATCATTACCATCATCCCCACGTTCGCAAACCCAGACACACACAAACGTCATTCAGACTAGCGTCACAGTGTAACCACCACTCCTCCATCGCTGATATGACAATGCCTCCACCATAACCACCTCCACAACAGGTAACTCTCTTCTTTGTTGAATGAAATTGGTTATTATAGGGTGTTGATTTAGAGTAAGATTTGTGTGTTAATTGAAATAGATTGTGTGATAATTTCAGTCAATAAGATTATCAATGGAATTTTTCTATGTTATTTTTTGCTCAGTGGAGAAAGTAGTTGGATGTTAGAGATCTTGAACCCTGTTTTAAGTTATGAGCATATTGTTTAGAAATGGCCTCTTCCTTTCCTCCTCTAATTGTTAGTTTTTAAATTTCCTTATGCTTTCTTGGATCGAGAATGGGATAGAAATGTAACAATTGTGTTGCAGGCAGGCTGAGCTTTTTCAATTGCATTTGAGGCATTACAATTTGCAAGAATTTTTTAGATTCAGTTTGTCTTGTGAAAAATTATTTATAACAGGACAGAAGTGATATTTTGCAAGTGGAATTTTTACGAGTTAGATATTGCATATTGTGTACAAAGATTCAACAATTGGGGAAAGACCATAGAAAAATGTATTTCTAGTGTCCCTCCCCCATAAAGTTTAGGTCCTTAAGTACCTGTTGATTTTCCTTTTGCTCTTTCATTCCGAATATTCGACTAATTTTCTCTATGATCTGGTTAAAAACAAATCATCTATGTCGGGACTGAGGTATTAATGAATGATAAATTTGTTATAGTTTAGTTTCAAGAAATCGTTGAAGTCAAATAATTTATAGTAATTTTAATATTGTGTTTGGATTATGTGATGGAAAATACTACACAACCCAAATAAAACTCAAAAAATTACAATTTAATGTATATTGTCTTTTGTTTGAGTATTGGATGATATATATAATAAAGTTGATTATAATTTAAATCTCAAAAGATAAACAAAATGACTTTTGCTATTCGCTGTTGAGATCGTTTTAAATTATACTTTAAAGTTAATCTAACTGCTAATATTAACACCTTAAATTTAATAGGAAAATAAAGCCCTTATGGGTATGTTTGGAGTGACTTTTTAAAAGTATTTTTAAAAATTATTTCTTATAAATATTTAAAAAAAAAAATTAATATTTGAAACCGCCCTACCACTACGTCTACCACGACCACCACCACCGCCACCGTCGCCGCCACAACCGCCACCACCACTACTACCACTACAGCCGCCATCAGCACCGCTGCCGTCACCACCACCACCACCATCGTCGTCACCGCCACCACCACCATCACCGCCACCACAACCACTGCCTCCTCTGCCACCACCACCGCCACAGTAGCCAACAACACCGTTGTAGCCACCAGCACCGTCGCCTCCACCGCCACCACTGCCACCACCGCCACCACCACTACCTCCACCACTGCCACCGCCACCCTCACCACTGCTGCCACCACCACCACCACCATCGTCGCCGCCCTCGTCACCATTGCCGCCCACCACCTCTCACCCCCACTACAAATCAATGCTTAAGTTCTTTTATCTCTTCTCTATATTTGTGATTTGATTTTGAATATGAATACAAATATGTTTATTGTTTATAATTTTTTATTACTTTGTGCCTTCAGGTATAAACAATAACTAGTATATATATATCTCTTCACCATTTTAAAAAATAAAAAATCCTCCAATTTAAGATCAGGTTGAATTACACCACACAACTGGGCACTAACACAATGGAAGAGTCCATACATGTGTTTATATCCACATGTCAAAAATGTATTGACATAGTCATTCATAAATCGTATAATTTTGGTCTTGTCCAAACACAATTTTCTCGAAGATGTAGACATCTGACCAATATATGGCCCACTCTCCTAATGCCTCTTGTTCGCTTCTTTACGCAAAACAAGCTGATAGATCTATTCATATCTGGACCTGACCTAACTACCAACTACCAACTACTCCACGGGCTTCTCGTAAAAGAATTGATTCCAAAAAAGGCTCATTTTTAGATACCACCACTTATTCCTGATGGACAAAGTTGGCCCAATATTTGCTTATAATTTGGGCCTCTTCCAAGAAGGCCCAATTCACATTCTCTATGAACAAACTTGTGTTTATTGCGCCAAATTAATTCGCCTTCTTGTTAGAACTTCTTCATTAATTTAGGGGGTTCCTATATACAGATAGATAGCCACTCTTTTGCCTCACTCCCTCAACCTATATATTCTTGGCAACTCTCCTCTCTCTATCTCTCTCTCCGGCTTACAAATATATATATATATATATATACACTCATCTCATAATGTCAAATGAAGCAATGCAATTTACGCCATTTACCTTCTTCATTCTCATTTTCTGTTTCCATTGCACTTATGAATACCATGCTTGGTCGTGCTGGAGGCTATGGAGTCAGAGGGAGTGGCTGGCAAAGCGCCCATACAACTTTTGATGGTGGTGGTGACGCCGCTGGCAATTTGGGTAACTAAGACTTTCGAATTTGCAAGCATGTGTGTGTGTCTGCACTTTTGTGTGTGCTTTCCCCCTCTTCTTCATTCCGATCTCCATGCATTCAAAAAGGTATATCACTTGTCTGAAGGGGGAATGTGTGGTTATGGGAACTTATATAGCCAGGGTTATGGGAAATTGTATAGCCAGGGTTATGAAACTAACATTGTGGCTCTAAGCATTGCACTCTTCAACAAGGGCTTGAACTGTGGTGCATGCTATCAAATGAGGTGCAACCAAGACCCAAAATGGTGTCTACCTGCCATCACCGTCACCGCCACGAACTTCTGTCCACCTAACCATGCTCTAGCTAATAACAACGGATGGTGTTGCAATCCCCCTCTCCAACACTTCGACTTGGAAGAGCTTACTTTCTTGCAAATTGTACAGTGGGATCGTTCCGGTCCTCTACAGAAGGTATGGATTAAATTAATTTCAAGGTCATCGAATTATGTGTATTAAAAAGCAAGATTAAAGGAATCCTACCTGACTATATTTACTTGGGACTTTCCCATAATCAAGACCACTTTTTACAACTATTTTGTACTGCTTTTGATTACAGGGTCACAGGTGTGAAGAAAGGAGGAATGGGGTTCACAATTAGCGACCATTCTTACTTCAACTTGGTGTTGATAACTAATGCTGGTAGCGCTGGGGACATCCATTTGGCGTAGATCGAGGGGGGTTCTAGGACAGGGTGGCAAGTGGTGCCCCATTCTACACACTAAATGTACAAGCTTTTACTCTAACTCATGAGGTTTTTCAACTTTATACCCAACATAGGGTAGTTTTCAAACTATTTTCTAAACTTATACCCTTTTAAAAACGTCATTGCAACTGACATTTTTAAAATGTCACTTGGAGTGACGTCTTTCAATAAAAGACATTGGCAATGACGTTTTTAAATGGAGATAAAAAGCTATGTACTAATGTAAAGCGCTAGTGGAATCGACGTCTTCTTAAAAACATCATTCTGACTAGCGTTTTTAACGTTATCATCTGCCCCCCATTTCCCCCTTTCTTATTTCTCCTCCATTCTCTCTAATTTCCCCGTTCTATGAGAATTAGGAGCCCTAAACTAACTAGAAATCACCACCACTTACCACCACCCACTCCACCTCCACCATTGGAAATCACCCAAGCCACTTCTTTCTCTTCTTCCATTCTCTTTTATTTTCCCCATTTTCTAAGATTGGAGCCCTAACCCGATATCCCCACCACCCCCATCGACCCCCACCATTGAAAATCACCACCTTCACCACAAAACCCTCATGTCAGTCACACAGCAACCACCACTCCTCCACCGCAGGTCTGAGAAGACCTCCACCACAGCCCCCCCACATTTAGACATTATCACCCTCACCCCCACCTTCTGAAATCCCCACCATCCCAAACCTCGACCACAACCACCCCTCACCTTTAGAAATCATCACCACCATCCCCACCTTTTGAAATCCTCACCATCCCCCCACTTTCTAAAATCCCCACCATCCCCCCCACCTCTGAAATCCCCACAATCCTCCTCTCTTTCACAAATCATCACCATCCTCCCCACATTCGCAAACCCAGACACACACAAACATCATTCAGACTAGCGTCACAGTGCAACCACCACTCCTTCATCGCTGATCTGACAATGCCTCCACCACAACCATCTCCACAACAGGTAACTCTCGTCTTGGTTGAATGAAATAGGTTTTTATAGGGTGTTGATTTAGAGTAAGATTTGTGTGTTAATTGAAATAGATTGTGTGATAATTTCAGTCAATAAGATTATCAATGGAATTTTCCTGTGTTATTTTGTGCTCAGTGGAGAAAATAGTTAGATGTTAGAGATCTTGAACCCTATTTTAAGTTATGAGCATATTGTTTAGAAATGGCCTCTTGCTTTCCTCCTCTAATTGTTAGTTTTTAAATTTCCTTATGCTTTCTTGGATCGAAATGCGATAGAAATGTAACAATTGTGTTGCATGCAGGCTGGGATTTTTCAATTGCATTTGAGGCATTAGAATCTGCAAGAATTTTTGAGATTCAGTTTGTCTTGTGAAAAATTATTTATAACAGGACAGAAGTGATGTTTTGCAAGTGGAATTTTTACATGTGAGATATTGCGCATTGTGTACAAAGATTCAACAATTGGGGAAAGACCACAGAAAAATGTATTTCTAGTGTCCCTCCCCCATAAAGTTTCGGTCCTTAAGTTCCTACTGATTTTCCTTTTGCCCTTTCATGTCGAAGATTCGACTGATTTTCTTTCTGGTCTGGTTAAAGACAGACCATATATGTCGAGACTGGAGTATTAATAAAGGATAAATTTCTCATCGTTTAGTTTCAAGAGATCGTTGAAGTCAAATAATTTGTAGTAATTTTAATATCGTGTTTGGATTATGTGATGGAAAATGCTACACAACCTAAATAAAACTCAAAAAATTACAATTTAATGTTTATTGTCTCTTGTTTGAGTATTGGATGAATGAGTATCATTGAAAAAATTGATGGGACACATTCATCCAATGAATGATATGCATTTACATTATAATTTTTTGAATATTGTTTGACTTGTGTAGCATTACTCTTATCCCATAGGGACTGATGTTATGACACGTGTAGATCTAAACATGATGCTAAAGTATCAAATAACACTATGTGAAAGTCACAAATTAATATAATGTAATAGGTGATAAATTTGATCCACTACCAATACCTTATTCCAAATTTGCACCAAACATGGTGTAAATAAGATAGGATTAACTAATAAATTGACCATTACCATTGGTATAGAATAAATTGAAACTAATTATCCAATCTTATACCATATTATAACTGAATTAATAGGGTTATAGCCCAACTAGACTTGTGGTCCAAAGTTACGTACGTAACCCAACATCTTTGGCAATAGCAAAGACCCATGGATTGATTGCCTTGCGACATGCGAGAAGTGAAGTCCTCATTTTCGCCAATCCAAATCATCATATTCTCTTCTTGTCATTTAGGGATTTTAGATGTTAGGGTTTTTGTTAATCGCATGGAATACATGCTGAGTTGATTATTAATGAGTGTTTATTTTGTGAAATTTGTAGGCTAATTTGTTTTCAATTTGAGTGTTGAATAGAGTTTGTGAAATTTTAACTTGATTTATCTTTTTTTGTGAAATAGGTTTATAGTGTCTTCAAACATACAATAAATAGGTTTATAGTGTCAAATTATTGTTTGACATTATTGCTGACATAGACAGTAGTCAGACCAGAGGGTGCCTAACAACCACTACCATGTCTTACATTGAGTTGCTTAGGCAAGAGATGGGTACCTTGACATTTCCAACTTCCAGATTGATGGGTGAATGTTCAACGTGGGGATGTAGGTAATGGATAAGTTTGGGCAGTACTCGTACACCTACCAAAGAACTGGCTCCACAACATACGATGGGTACTTAGCTAATAATTCATTGAGTCAGAGTTTTTAAATGAGTGAGGCGGGAATTGAGTTGGGTGAACAAGATGATATCCATCAACCAATAATGCAACAAAGCCCAATCCAAGAATATGAAGAAATGTGTTCAAATGATTGTATAAATGTCTTCGATGATGATGAAGATGAAGAAGAGTTTAAGGAAGTAATGATTGCTAAGCCGGATGACGAAGATGGGAATGGTGAAGACATTGAGGCTGGTCCATCGGTTGTTCGAATGCATAAGCCTTACTCCACCTCCTTCACAACCACTGAATTTGGTAAGCATTCTGAAGCAAATAGCTTAGTACCGTTTTCTGAAATGAATTTGTGGGATCCAGTGAAGATGGGTTTGGCGAAAGGCATGGTGTTTCAAGATAAAGCTTCATTAATTAGGGCAGTTAAATGGTATTCCATCAAGCTGAATCAAGATTATGTCATGGTCGAGACGATCACAACGGTGTGGGTTATACAGTGCACCATGTACATGCAGCCTAATTGCACGTGGAGACCACATGCTTTTTTTAAGGAAAAAATTTAAAATATTTTGTATCACAAAATTTAATGAACCTTATACCTGCTTCTACCCTCGAATGAGTTGTGACCATCGACAATTAGACTCTACCTTCATATGTCATAATATACTAAGATTTGTTGGTGATACACTACAAACAAAATTGTCAATAATTTAGAAGAATATAAAGGAGAAGTTTAAGTATGATATTTCCTACAAGAAAACATGGATTGCGAGGAACAAGATGATTACTAAGATTTTCGATGATTAAGACTCGTCGTACGACATGTTGCCTCAATTTTTAGGTGTCATCAAGAAGTATAACTCCGGCTCGATTGTAAAGTGGCAGTACAACTATAAATCTCTTGAGTACAATATTTTTTTACGAGTATTTTGGGCATTCAAGTCCAGCATAAAAGGGTTTAAATATTATCGACATGTTGTCAGTATTGATGAGACATTTTTGCATAAAAAGTATAAGGAAAAGCTATTAGTGGCAACTGGTTTTGATGCTGATAAGCAGTTGTTTCCCATTGCGTGGAAGAGGAGAATCAATCAAGTTGAATTTTTTTCTTATATTACCTTTGGCGGATAGTTCTTAAACATCGGCAAGAGATATGTTAAATTTTTAATAGGCACGTTGGGATCTTTTTTGCTGTGAACATGGAAGATTCTGGGTGGCATCCACCACATGCTTATCATCGCATTTGTCTTCGGCATGTTCGTAGTAATTTTAATACACAGTTTTAAGGATGACCATTTGTATGATCTTATGTGGAGGGCTAACAAAGCAACACAGATTCAAAAGTTTGATGAGTTGATGACCTAGATACGCAACGTCAAAGAGGAAGTGGTTGATTACTTAAATGATATATCATTAGAGAAGTGGAGATGAGCCCATAATGGTGGACGGCAATATGACATAATGAAAACCAACAATTCTGATATTTTTAATAGTATTCTCTAAGGTGCTAGGTATTTGCCCATAACTGATTGTGTGCAATCGATATTTTATCGGGTCACTAAGTATCATTTTGAATATCGAGATAATGTGGCCAAATGAAAAGAAAATGGTTTGGAGTTCTCTAAGTGTGTTGTGGAACGAGTATAACATGCACAACAAATAAGTCATGTCTACGAAGTGACACCAATTCATAGGGAGCATGTTCTTGCTGAAGTGGTGATTGACGGTGGTCAGAAGTAAGTTATGTGTCTTGAAGATCGTTTGTGCACATGCAAAAATGGGCAATTTACAAAATATTTTGCTCTTATGTATTGGCTATATGCTCTCATTTTTAATTGTATATTCAGTCGTATATAGATCCCATATATAGCGACGACCCTTTGGCAAAAATTTGGGAGCTTGAAATGTATCCTCTTAAGCATGCACATTATTGAGATAATCCTCTGCGTCCCAAGTAACTCTCTAATCGTAACCAACGTCGAGACTTGGTTGGTCGGCCACGGCTGATGCACATAAGGAATGAGATGGACTTCCCATTAAAGGGTCGTAATCAAATATATTGTAGGCTATGCGGCCAAGTGGGTCACAATTGTCGAAAGTGTTCATCCATAAACACGCAAACTCTAGCATCCCTTCACTAGATAGTCCCAAGTTATTTTGTGAGCTTGTTAAGTTGCAC